GGGTGGCCTGCAGGGGCCCACGGGCCCAGCCTGGGCCCATCACCCTGCCAGGCTGGGGGTGCGGCTGCTAGGAGGGCCCGGGCGCCTCCAGCTTGCTGGCAACGGCCTGGCTGACCCTGAGCAGGGCCTCCTGGAACTGGGGGTACTCTTCCTTCACGTGGTCCAGGACGGTGCCCAGCGCGGCCAGCCGGTCGTCCAGGCGCCTCTGCTCCACCTGCAGCGCCTGCTTGGAGCGGAAGAGAGGCGTGTAGCGCCCGTCCTTCACGGCCTGCAGGTGCTTCAGGCGCGTCTGCAGGGCCACCAGCTCCGACAGGTTCTTGGGTGACAGGGGACGGCGTCAGCCGTGCAGACCGCGAGCGGACACTGATGCCCCCGCGCCTCCCGCTCCTGCTGGCACCAGGCTGCCTAGCAGCGAGCCCCCCCTCCGCCCGCCCCCGTCACAGAGCCAGGGCTGGACCCCGCTCGGCCCGGAGGGACCCTCCCCTGGCTCCGCTGCCACCTCCACCCGCCGCCCTGCCCGCCGCTGGCCACCTGGCCCAGCCTGACCGCAGGCCGCCGGGCCACTCTCCGGGCGCCGTCCCCATCCAACCCCGCCGTGACGGCACAGCCGCCGAGTCCTTGGTCAGGCACCCGTCCTCCCCCGAGGGCCGCGAGCGGGGCTGAGGGGGCCGCCGGAGCCCACCTGCCGCTTGAGGGCTGCGAGCTGCTTCACGCTGGCGTCCAGCGCGTCCGTGTCCGCCTGCATCTTGGACAGCCGCTCCTGCCTCTCCAGGAGGGCGTCCCTCACGAGCCCCTGCGCCTCCTCCAGCTCCGAGATGGTCCTGGAGCACTCCTCGGCGGCCTGGGGCGGGGGTGGGGGTGGCGTGCGCCGCGAGGCCGTCCCGCCTCTGGGCACCGCGGTGCCCGGTCCGGCGGCCACGGGGCCCCCAGGACCTGGCGGCTTTTATCCCCAGTGCAGGGGAAAGTGGCTTGTCTGGTCCAAGGCGGGGCTCCCCAAGCCCAGCACCCCTCCCCCCCAGCGGCCCCCCATCCCCACAGCATCGCCCCTGTCTGGCAAAACAGCCAGAGCCCCGGGCTGCGGGGCTGGACGGGGCAGGACGGGCCGGGCCGGGCGGCCTGCGGGGGCGGCGAGTGGCCTGGGCCAGGCACCGCAGCCCACCTTGTGCGTGTCCTGGATCCTGCGCCGCAGCTCGGCCTGCCGGTGGTGGAAGTCGGTGCGTGTGAGCAGCCGCCGGTCACCCTTGCCCTGGGCCTGGGCCTGCGTGGTGACGGCCTCCCTGCGGGCCACCGCCAGCTCCATGTCGCGGATGGTCTTCTCCTGCCGCTTCAGCAGCTGCCTGTGCCGCGCCTGGGACACACGGCAGAGGGTTGGCCGTGCCGGGGGACACGCAGCTGGAGGACATGCGGCCCGTGCACTGGCCCCGGTCGCAGAGGAAGGACATCGACCTAGGACGGGCTCCATGGTCAAGACGGCGCCGCGGCTCTGAAAGGCCCAGTGTGGGGCCCGGCGGGGGCGGGGCCGGTGTCGGCAGCGGCCTTTTAAACTAACTTCTGAGGCCAGGGCCTCTCGGCCCCACCAGCCGCGGACCCGCA